CCTGCCACTCCACACAAACATAAATAGACCGTCTGCGTTGACAGAGTTGGGACGTCAGTCGACAGCCCTTCAAGCCACGGTGCTGGGCGCACCGTGATGGTCTTAAACTCGGATCACACATGCAGCAGAGGAGCCGCACGGAGACCGAGTCGAGATGCACACTTCCCGCTTGCGTGGGAGGTGGCAACTGGGTGATTGTGTTATGTGATGGGGGTGTTGGTGGGGAAGATGTGATGGTGTGGTAGAGCCGGCGGTTGTCCATCGCAGGTCTTCGTGAATGCGCATGTGTCCTAACAGGCCCACGCGTCGAGTGAATGTGCGAGGGCAGTATGGCGTGGATGTGGCGAGTGTATGTTGGTGCTCTAAGCACTGGTTTGCCAGCCTCTGTGCGATGAATTCGCAAGTGACCAACCAGGCCGATGGGTCGAACACAGACTATTTTTGTCGCCGCGCATATTATCCAAGCGCTCTTCCAACTGATCTGCCTGCGTACATCTCGTCAGCTGCGACCGGGAGTCTTCAAGGTCACGCGGATGCGCCATTTCGTCGGTGCGATTTCGGGAAGGAACATAATGGCGGCCGCATTGTGTCAAGCAACCCTCAGAATGAAGAATGTGCCCATACCCCGGTTTAGTTACCGAAAAAAGTACTACGCTTTCTGTCAGCTAACGCGCTTCACCTTCAGAAGTTGCGTTTTAGTGGGTAGTCGGTTCTTCCAATGGATGTATACGCTTTTACTGAAAAAAAAACCGAGGAAACTGGAATGACCCATTTGCCGTAATCAGCCAGTGACACCCCAATTCCCGCTGTCTGTTTACTTGAGATTCCAACCTCGAGTCAGTTGAGCATTGAACGCGGCTCTCTCACCATTGCGATGACGTGTTCGCGTCATGTCAGCTGAGGTCATAAGTAAATTAGTTATACGAGGGTAGGGCGTGTCGAACCATCATGATTGAAAAGCGAAAGTGCTCCTGTTCGTTCCGAAATCAGCATGCGTCAGTTCACACCACTATCACGTAAATAGTGCGTGATTACTTGCGGCTTCTATGAGTCACTATACAACGCGTAAACTATGCAGAAAATGTTGCGATACCTATATACCTAGACATTAGTCGTGAAGTTTAACCACACGATTGTTACAGAACGTCAAATGTGTGTGTGTGTGTGTGTGTGTGTTTGCCCCTGAAACGGGCCACGCGGTGGATGTCGTCAGTCGGCACTGCCAAATCTCACTTTCTCGGGAAATGAGTCGCGATGTCGCGCTCTTTGGTAATTGAACGTTAAGTAGTCCAGGGCTATACCATTGAGCCAAGAGGCCGTTGTTCTGTCGATTGTGATCGGTCACTGATCAGGTTACGGATCATGCCCAGGTGGGGGGGAGAATGCGGTTGATGCCGCGCAAGTCCACGATTATCACTGACGAATACACGCGTAAGTCACCGTCTCTGCTCTTACCCTACTGCACCAACATTGAGGGACACTTATCTAGACGAGAATCCACAAACACTGCCTTCCTGTGCAAAGTCCGAATGGGGTGGAAGGCGTCACTTAACAGGCCACAAAGCGACCAATGTGAGCAAAACAGCGCGGTACCCGCATCTCTGCCGTCACCCTTCCCTCCCGTTAAATGATTATTTGATTTTACGATGCATGCTACTTGCAATGACACAGACGTCCACGGCTATCAGTGACCAAATGGGATGGCAGCAACAGTCGCTAAAGTTGGTGCCATGAGTTACGAGACGTTATGCTTCCCTCAGAGGACCGTTACCCCCAGTCCTAGGACTGGGGCAAATTAAAACCAGGCGGAGCTTGCCTTCTAATGAGAAATGATCCAAGGAAGGCGGCTGAATTTGTCTTTCTCCGCCAAACTAATTCTGAAGAACCTTACAACTTTAATTGAAAGCTCGCAGCAGTTTTTGTGAACTCAGGAAACCGAATGCAAGAACGGCGTTCGCTGATCTAGCCTGATCGTGGAACGCAAATATGCATTTCTGTTTTGAACTGGAGCTCCGGATTCCGGACCCCCAGGCGGGCGGTTGTCTAGAGATCAACGATAGGGGATCAGGAATAACCAAGCGTCAACTTCAGCCACAAACGCATTTGCGCAAGGGCGCTTTATTGGCGTATTTAGACGTACTGCACTGGACTAGGAGACAAGGTTACCGTAATGCAACACCTTCGACGGATGCTCATAACAAATGGCCGCCCTCGCAACCTCATCAATCAGTGCGCGTGAAAACGAGAGGAGAGACCAATCTGCACCAACCCCAAATTTTGGCAAGCACTGGAGTCCGCCGATAACGTCTCCGAAGCCGTCAGTTGTTTTCCCACATCAAGTGGAGCTGGGGCCGCACAGAGACCAAAGGAACCGGGTAACAAAACCCAAAGACCCGCTGTCACAAGGCGGGACAGTTGGAATCGTTTACTCTGTTTGGGGAATTTGTTGACAAGACAAAAGCCCCGAAGGCTTGAAAGAATACTATGGACGCGGATGACCGAACACGCAGCAGCTGTGAGGGGTAATGACGTCATTTTGCAAGTTGCGACTCATTCGACAGGGACCGGCCACACACTTACTTTCGAAAAGGCCTAAATTCTCGTGAGGGGTGGCAACCGCGTGAGTGACGGGCTACGTGAGCCATGTTTCTCGGACCTGCAGTCCACTAGCGAACACAATGATCCCCCTTCGTGTTCCATGCTGATACTTGGCTTGGACAGGTCCTATAGCCAAGCGGGGGCGCGCGGGCGAGCCCTGTTTCCACTTGCAGTGACGAGCATTTTTCACACCGAGAACTAATACGAATGATGAAATTGCAGCGATTAACGGCTCTTTTGCTGACAGTCAAGCCATTGTCGCACCATCTGTGGTGAATGCGGGACCCCCAAGTTGGACAGGCATGCAATGTCATGGCAAACGTATTCTATAAATAATGCACTCCGAATGCAACTATTCTCCTGACCTGATATTGTTTCCGACGTTGTGGATTCGGGTGGGAATCTGAAACCTTAGGCAGATAGAATTCGTACTACAGCGACCGCTCCTCCTTATCAGCTGTTTCCTGGAACTCGAATTTTTCCTTGTAGCACCATATACATGAGGATTCTGGAAGGGCCAGCTCTGTCTTGCTTGCCCTAACCCCAGGTTCTGGTCCGTCTGAGGCTCGAATTCCAGTCCACTAGCTCATAGATTTTTATGGCTGATCCTGTGAAAGTAACTTACTAGGAAATTGACCAATCAAGTCCTGACTGGCGGGCTATCCGCGGGGCGGTTTTAACGTGACGGGGTGGTCAGACTTTTCGACCGTCGATTCTGACAACGTCCACAGGTTCCCCCACAACAGGGTGGGCGCAGGGGCGGTGACTTATGCGTGAATTCGTGTATAATGATAGTAGACTTGCGTAGCATCTACCGCACTCTTTCCTCTTCTCCCATCTGGACCCGGTGCCATGACAGAGTCAAGAAGACTGGAGGCGAAGAGGGCGCAGGTGGTTGCCGCGACATCAACGCGCACCCAGACATGCCACCGCACGCAGCTGGAGAATAGGATGGGCCTGGTAGCCAGGAGGAAGACATTTAGTCGGACAACGGGGTACAGGCGTGAAGTGCCAATTTCCCTTCCTCTTCTTTCAGGATGGACTGATGAACGCCCATTATCATGTGACATTGCATATTCTCAACGGTGACGGAAAGCGTTAACCCAGTGGTTCACTACGTAAAAGTGTGCGATGCATAGTGTTCATTAATCACTGGATCCAGGCATAAATCTTGAGTGCACAGGACTGAAATATAACTGACCGATAAAACCTGGACATTCCGATCCCCTTCTTCTTCGTTCTTCAGGTTTGCAGGTGTCCACTCCAATACGATAGTTGAACTGTCCCGAGCAATGACCTCAAGCGCGGTCAGTACGAGATGAGGGCAACGCTAGCGGTTTGCTCATTAATCGATTTATAGTGGGGTGGACTTGCATGACATCTACGTCACTCTTAAATGCTCCGACGGCAAGACAATGTCAAGACGACCAGAGGTGGGTTCGGGTGCAGTGGATGGCAAAATTAAGAAGTCACTCTACGCGTGCCACGCACGACCTGATTATTATCCGGGTGTGCTAGCCTTCTACGTAGGCGACTGGATCTCTCATGTGGCCCGTAGTGAGAAGGACTAATTGGGTTTGGCCCTCAGTCCTGAGCAGGAGCGGGTTACTTCGTACTTGGCGTATGACTGATGAAATTGAAAAATGCGCTGTTAAGCTGTAATAATGGATTCCCCAGCGTCCATCCCATTCACTACTATTTCTCCTATGCAACACTCGACTGCCCAAACAGCTAATGAAGAGTTGCCCAAATATGCCACGATCAGGCCGCTGCTTGTATAGAAATTTTACGAAACACGGTCGACTTTGATATTGATAGATCTTGCTGGCTGTCGCCGCAGAAATCGTAAGCTTTCTCTATGGCACTAGGATGAGCCGATCGGATCGCCTATGTTTAGGGTGGACGGAAACCCGCCAACTGCACATGGTTGCACTGTACCAAAGGCAGGTTTTTGTCCATCAGCGCCAATCTCTGGATACATTTGCTTGCTCACTGTGCTTAGCCATTCATGCACAGTAGCTGCCTTTGTGGCCTAACGATGTCCACATAGTGTGCATGCTAACGTCTGTCCACAGTTCACGGTTGGGAGTATCGAGTCTAGTGTTTAGGGTCTGGCCTTCATTATTGGAATAACTTTAACCGTAAGGTAAGATTGGCCAGGGCAATGTGCCCTGAAACAGATTTCGTTGCAGATGGGGGCTTACTTCCCTAATTTATAACTGGGGCGGGACTTGACAAAGGGAATTTTCGACCACTGAGCTCCAAGAGATGCGTAAACCCAGGCCTGAGAAGTTCGACTACCTACGAAGGTTTGGGCGCAACGTGGCAAATGGAGGGTTGCGTTTACAATACTACTAATACCACTACTATTACTACTACTGAAACTATCATCCTTAGCACCACTACTGCTGCTGCCGCTCCTGCTGCTGCTGCTGCTGCTGCTGCCGTCGCTGCTGCTGCTGCTGCTGCTGCTGCCGTCGCTGCTGCTGCTGCTGCTGTTGCTGTTGCTGCTGCTGCTGCTGCTGCTGCTGCTGCTGCTGCTGCTGCTGCTGCTGCTGCTGCTGCTGCTGCTGCTGCTGCTGCTGCTGCTGCTGCTGCTGCTGCTGCTGCTGCTGCTGCTGCTGCTGCTGCTGCTGCTGCTGCTGCTGCTGCTGCTGCTGCTGTTAATACAGTTACGATGGGAATATTGACTCCCTCCTCCGTACTACAGGGGCTGCGCGCTAAATTCCAGGGAGTTCCTATGCCTGTATTGCAAAGTTAACCCTAACCCTCTGGAATTTAGGGCTAGGCCATCTGTAATATTGTAATACAGTGTCTAACCCTACACTTACCACGACGATAACCACTGCTGTCAAAATCGGTTCCACTTTTAAGGGGGCAGCTACTATAGCCACTAGCACTAGTACAGCTGCTATGGCAAATATTGCAGGCGAAAGCGAAAACGTGAATTCCAGGAAGCAGTTGCAAAGAAGTAGATGCAGTCGCCGGAACCATAATATTCGCCTGACGTTTCAGATTTACGCTCAGATCCACCGACAGAGATAGGATCAGATAGGAGGCAATTCATACACAGGAGGTTCCCGTATACCTATAGGATGCAGTCGCCATTCTACTGCATACATATGACAATTAACAGTTTCTCCCTGCATCGAGGATGGCTGCCCTCTGGTGCGCTCATGGTTTGGTAGTCGGCTTACAAGTCGATAATTACTGAAATCTCATCGCCCCTGATAGATTTTGGCGTGATGATGGCTCGGCCACCTGGCCCTACGCCCTGCACGCGCTCCGAATGGCTAATTACTTTGGTCAAACTAAGTTTCAGCATCGAATATGGAGCGGGGTGGGTCATTTCACTTGTTACTCGACTGGGATCCTTTGAGCCATGACTCGCGGCTCACGCGACTGTCAACTCTTGTGAGAATTTCGGCCTCGTCTAACTTGAATGTGTGCCTGGGTCTCGTCGGATAGGCCGCGACTTGAGAGTTGGCGTCATCTCTCCGTACTGCTGCCGCGTGTTCGGCGATTTGCGTCTGTGGCAGTCTTCCAGTTTCTCCGACGTGTTTCCCGTGCCCAAAACTGCGCTATATTCGATAAACGACCTCAGATGCTTCTTGCTGTGATAATGGCTATTTTTAGTCTCATTAACCGACGCGCAAGGTGGTGAGCCAGGTAGCCGAGCCATCGTCACGCCAACATGCAGCAGGGGTGAGTAAATTTCGGCATTTAACGACTTGCACGCCAGCCATCAAGCAATTAGCACACCAAAGGGCAATCATCCTCGATGAAGGGGGAGTCTTCAGTTGTCGTAGTATGTAAGTAACCCCGGCCATAGACCATACCCCTGCCGCATCAAGTCATGGAATCCATAGTCACCTGCTACGAGGTGAAATATGACAGACTGCTGATCGGATCTGCCGTAGTGCAGTACAAAGTAATTCGCAGATCAGCAAATAAATAATCGAGGCAAACGCAAATTCTGCGACACAGAATAACCCCAAAACTCCACACCGAGTGAGAATTGTCGGAGCCCTCAAAAGACCAAAATCACATGATCCTCCCACGGCCCATGCGATCACCAGAATTAAATCTGACCGGTTAACTGGAGGACTGTTTTGAACGAAATATCATACAGGCAGGGTTTCGGCTCAACCAGGTTCGTCTGAAAGTTGCCTCGATTTGAACCGCAAAACATGAGGTCCGTTACGTTTGCAGTCGGGTGAAATGATAGCAACGAGCAGTGGAAATGGGCTTTCGTGCGTCGATATGTGGTTTTGGCGATTTGTCAGTCGTCGCCTCTGCCTTCCTACCATGTTTCTTTTGAGCTGTCTAGATAAGGGCTAACTGTGGCAAGAATTGTGCGCAGTTGGGGCGTACGCGTCCTCTAATTTGAGCCGGGGGGGAGGGGGGTAGGTGTGCCCGCATGAATACTGCAAGGAACTCGAAGGGATAGAGCCGCTGACGCTGATGGCAGAACACAACCCCACTTCTGGACACGTCCCCGGCCTCCATGACGTAGGAGTGCTGTGCGCAGAGAGCGAGAGCGACTGAAAGACCTGGAAGACTCTCGAGGCGTGACCTACAAGTCCGCCATCAGTCAACTGCCGCCAGCCCGATTGGCCATGCGTCATACCTCAATCGCTGCCAACAAAGCAGGCGTGATGGGCCCGCGAAAACACGGCAGACACTGTGTCTGCAGCAGCCACCACTACCCTCACCAAGGCGCACCCAACGTCAGACCTCTTGAGGTAAGGGGGGCCGCCAGCTCGCACGCATGGCGCTCCTTACTCCCCCTCCCCCATCTTCTCCTCCTCGTTCTCCCCCCCCCGCAACCCTCCCCTTCGTCATTGTCATCATCATCGTCATCATGCCGTCCCAGCGGCCGGACTCGGAGATGTCTGCAGGCGGTTACCAGGACAAGTACTGGAAGACATGTCAGCTGACCTCCCCCCAATGATGGGAACGCTTGGGCTATCTGCACCCACTATTGACGGTTTAAGTTTGTCGCTTCCCAAGCCCCGGAACCTCTACCCAGGCCTAAGTAGCGGGTACATTGTATGGGGGGTCAACTAACTTGTCGTCCAAGTTACATGCACTATAAAGATATTGCAAAGTACTGGCGGTGTATCGGTATCGGTAGCCTACAACGAGTATGTGCTTTCAAAACACACAATTTACTAATAGTACACGCACAAGCACTTTTTAGCCCCTACAAGTGGTGTCACCAGACAAACTTCCATCGAAAGTTTGGGCAACCAGAGAATAAGGTGAAATTTACGACCTCACTTGTCCTTCGCTTTCTACTGTTCAGCCACAACGTCGATGAAAGCTCACCGGACAGGTGAGATCATTGTATGCAGACCTTTGTGCAGATAGAGTTATCGCAGCGGGTTTGCCGGCATGTCCGAGGGCTTGCAAAATCTGCTGGTGGAGTAGATTTTAACGGCGATGTCGTTCTTACCCCATCCACCTGACAAAACCGGGGCTTCGGAATAGCTTCTTTGAACAGGCTGCATGGGCTACAACCTAGGTGGACGGTAGACTGTCCAGCGAGGATGTGCTAAGGACCCCAGGTCGTTGAGTAGTGGAGCAGTTTTGATGCAATGATAGCCCCGATGGGCGTTATAAGCGACGTCAAATAGGTCTACGCTGGCATTCCTCCCGGCTCCTCTGTATTTAGCTTGCATCAGAGACAACAGCTTCGGTGACACGCCCACATACCTCACAAGCAATCCCGATGAATGGAGTCAACTGCGACGAGAAGCGAGCGAGACATGGTAACGAGATGCTGACAGCGGCTGGTCCGCAAAAATGCACAACGATGGAGAATTATACGAGTCATTTTGACCTGAAGTTAGGACAAAATGACTCGTTGGGTCAGGTGCGTACGCCGGTAAGGGCACGCTGTACGAACGGGCATGAGTTAGGGGTTGATGAAAGGTGGATGAGATCGCTGGAACAAGAGCTTTACTCGCTTCAGCTTTGCATTGTCCGAGGGGCGGCTTATTCATGAACGACTGTGACTGTTTAGGTACACGCGTGTCTGCGCGCGTGTTAAAAATTGGTCAGACTGGAGGGTGAGTGCGTTGCGAGCCGCTAACTGGAGAGGGGAAGGACCTTGAAGCATCAAGACTCTGAACAAAGACGCCGGTCATGACGGCTGCACTATCATCATCACCACTACCCCCACCACAGCCGCTGATTATAGTATCACAACTATTTTAATCACTAGTACTAATATTATTCGTAATACTAGCACTATCACTGCCAATAGTACTGTTGCTGCTACCAACGACCTTATTACTACTGCTATTCCTTTCTAGTAATAGTAGTAGCATTAGTTTAAGTAATGGTAGTGGCAGTGATGATAGTAGTATGAGCAGTAATGGTGGTTGTTATAGTAATAATATCATTAGTGGTAGCAGTAGTAGTAGTAGTAGTAGTAGTAGTAGTAGTAGTAGTAGTAGTAGTAGTAGTAGTAGTAGTAGTAGTAGTAGTCATAGCGGCAATAGTAGTGGTAGTGGTACTAGCGGTGATGACGGTAGTGGTAGTAGTATTAGTGGTGTTCCACACTTCGGGGTTGGGTATGACTGGCTGACGACGGCTAATAAGCCAAAATGGCCATTCCGGTCTCCCTTGTCTTTGCCAGTACTACCATTCTGTCAGCATTAGTGGTGCTGGTTTTAATGATAGTGGCGGTGGTAGTAGTAGTAGTAGTAGTAGTAGTAGTAGTAGTAGTAGTAGTAGTAGTAGTAGCAGTAGTAGTAGTAGTAGTAGTAATAGGAAAACTGTTGATTGCACTGTCATGATTGCTTGCAAGTTACAGAACCCGTCAGTGGAGCACTCGTTACCCATCTTGATCCGTCAGCCAACTGTTAACTGGAATCCGACTGAGGAACCATTTTCTTACACCTTGTTTTCTGTAATTTCCCAAATTTCCCAGCATCAGTCAACGTAGCATATACAAAAAACAAAATTTGAAGTGATCTTGATAGCGAAATGGTTGGCACAGGGCAAGCCTTTGCATAAATCGACTTTTCTCCTCTAAGTGGATTTACAGGGGTTGTTGGCTTGTTTTGTGATTGAAACAACTCTTCCCCTTCAGCCAGAGTGATTTTGATGATTTCCTCGAGCAAATTTAATTACGTGTTTTAAGAATTTCGGCTAAAATCTGACTTGTTTGGAAGCCTCACACCAGGAAAAAATTGGATTATGCGGGGCAGTAAACATGCGCATTGAGATTGTTTCTTATGTCAGAATGCGAACTTAGAGGGTGGAGGAGGACACTCTCAACTCAATTCCATCTCGCTCTGACTATTTTTTTTTGCTCAGAAACTAGCCTGCACTGATTTCCGTGTGAAACCTGCACAGGACGGAAGTGTTTACTGATTAAAAGAAAATGTCAGGACAAAGAGGCCGGAATAAAGGCGGCTGTTGGCAGTGGAAACTCAGAAGAGGATGATGTGATCACTGAAACAAGAAGTTTATTGGCCTGACGTTTCGGATTCTCACTTCAATTCCAAGTGGCGTTGGGGTTGCACGCAGTTCGGAAGCAACCACCAGGCCCCAAGTCATAAGGCCGAAAGACCCGCTGCCACGGCAGAAAACATCTGGAGTCGTTTACCGGATCTGGTGCCGTCGCGGAAAAGGCTACTACTTCGACGAAACTGGGAAATCACTCCGGACACGCATGGCTGAGCACGCAGCAGCGGCGAGGAGGAAAGACGTCAGCTCTTAGGTGGCGGCGCATTCTACGGAACCCGGCCATATTTACAAGTCTCAAGAGGCCGAAATTCTCACCAGGGGTGACAACCGCGTGAACCGCGAGCTGCTCGAATCATGGTTCTCAGGCCCGCAATCAATCAAAAAGCGCTATGACCTCTCGGTACCATATTCGGTGTTGAGACATTCGCTGAGCAGTCACGTGAGGAGGGCGCCAGCGAGCAACAATTCCAGTGACAGCGATCCAAATCGTCATGCCAACATCCAAGACGGATGTTGAAATCGCGACATTTAACGACTCGGACGCGGACTGACAAGCCGTCGTC